TTTGTTTTTCTTCAGTCTTTTATTTATTTTTCATCTTACAGTGATTTTAATGTTATTTTTTTCAGCTTCAACTTTTAATTTTCCTATTTTTCCATTCATATTTGTAATTTTATTTTACTCCATTTCATCATCCTTGTTAGGCTAGTAATCTGGCCAAAGAACTGCAGGGCAAAGAGCAAAAGCTTCTTGACCTTGAGAAAAACTTGAGTGCAGTAAATCAAGTTAAAGATTCTTTGGAAAAGGAACTTCAAGTTTTGGTGAGTAATACCCCAAAATTTTGACTTTATCCTTTGGATTTTGGTTTTCATGGTGAGCGTGTAATGTGAAATCTGTGGACTGACTCTGAGCAAAGTCTTTCAAAGCTGTTTTACTCATGAAAAGAAGGCAAAGGTTCATGATTGATAGGATCTGTCTCAGAATGAGAAGAGCATTTTAGATGAGTTCTGTGTTACCAGGTGTTCTGTCTAAACAGAACTCATCTGTTTATGGATTTCAGATGAAATATTAAACCAAAACAGCATGTAGTTTAAATTTACTTACTAAGGAGCATGTGGCCCTTTGTTATAACTTGTACAAATTAATGCTTGCTATACACGTCTTAGAAATGGGTTTTGAAGACATTTTTCATCCGATTTCTCATTTTGCGAATGTAATTACATTTGCAAGTATTCTGTAGTTGGGTGGGATTTTCCTGAGAAACTACACTGGAGTTAGTAACAAAAAGAAACATTTCTAGCTTTTACTGTCCCTGTCATAAAATCTTTCCACAGCCATAGTAAATACTTGAAGTTGGTGGAAGAGTCTCATTTGTCTTCCTCAGCATCCTCCCTTTCTTCACAGCTGAGCATCTCTTCCCGCTGGTAGAGCTGGAAAACACTGGTACAAGGCTGATCACAGGGTTGCAAATGTCCATTGTGCAGCCTATGAACAGCATGGATGGCTTCATGTGTTGAGCCCAGAATTCCTATCTCCTACACTGAACTCTGTGGTTGCAATTCTGTTGCTAAGACTGCTGCTGGAGAAGTTATTTTGAATGTTTAGGGACTTGCTTGCAACCAAGGAAAGGGAAATGTTGCTTTATGTTGCTGAATACGTCTACACTAAACTGTAATTCAGAAACTTTGGATCTGCTTGATAGGAGTGAAGACTGCTCTATTTTTTACTTGAAAAACACCCGATATAAATTCAGTGGTTGAATTATACTGCTGTTACCAAACCTTACCTTAGGTTTTTATCCATATTTCAGAAAGAAAAGTTTACTAGTGCAGCTGATGAAGCAGAAAACGTTCAACAAACTATGCAAGGTACGTCTGCTGCTAAACCAAAGAAAGAACTAAAAAGCTGCAGAAAATAAATGCTGCAAAAGTAAGGTTTTTTCCATGCACTTTCAAATTTACATGTGGTGGAACAGCAGCTTCGGCAGCTATGGAAAGGACAGGATTACTTCCAGCCTCTCTTCTTAAGAGTAATAAACCTTGCAAGTAGGTGGAATTGTCTGCATCTGAGTAGTTACTAACTTTGTTTTCAAAATTTTACTTGCATAGAAACAATAAAAAAACTAAACCAAAAAGAAGAGCAGTTTGCACTCATGTCCTCAGAACTGGAACAGCTGAAGTCTAGTTTGACGGGTAAGGAAGTAATAAACTGGAATGTTCTGAACAATGCATCAGCTTTGTGCTTCCATATGCCTCCTGCTCAGCTCGCCACTCTGTAGTAGTACATAACACTTTCCCGAATGCATATGCCTTCAAAAGAAAGCCTTTTGCTAGGCAGAGAATAGCTGTTGTGGCACTGTGTATAGTGACCCAACAAGGTGGTGATGATGAGGTTAAGGAAATAGTGCAGTAAAGCCAAAGACTTCCGAGTGCATGGCTGAGTGCATTCTGAATCAGTAGTCAAATTCTTGTTCAATTTGCCACAAAACCATGCTGTGGTGATGGTCAGTTACCAGACCAAGGCTTGGGGACCAGGCTAAAGCATTACAAACATAGCAGAGTTAATTCCCAGAAGCCTTGTCCATAAGAAGTGTCTTCTTTTTAAGGATATCAAAAAGACTGTATGTTAGTCTGGTTGTCTCCTCCTTCCTATCTCATAGGAGGGAGTCTTTCTGTATTTTTCTAGTTGTACATCTCAATTTAAAGCTGATGTAGAAAGAAACTAAGGATGACTACCCTGTGAGCAAGCCTTTCAAGACATTGTTGGGACTGTAGAAGTCATCCCAAGGGCTGCTTTTGCTCTTGGTGGTAGTTCCTGCCCTGGACTAGGTAATTTCTTCACTGTAGCTTCATGTTGCTTGCATTGTTTGTCTTCTACTGCTCTGCTGAATAGCTGGTGAGATGCTTCACCTGTAAGATGTGCAGACCCCTCTGCTTGATTACCGTCTGATATGGGTAGAACTCATATCCACATCTCATGGCCTGAAGTGAATCGCTTCTGAAAGAAAGATTTCTTGACTAGTTGCTTTTTCACTGTTTCTGGAGAGTTCTTAACCTTTTGCTACAGTTGAAAGTTCAAACAATCATTTTTAATTTTAAACAGGTAGTTTGCAATGTCTGTAGCATCACTATTATTGCTCTATTTATAATTCTTTGCTATCTCCTTGCTGGCCTGTGCATACCCTTTCTCTGAAATGTACTGGACTAACCACCTTTGTCTTGCTCAGTGATGGAGAAGAAATTGAAGGAGCGAGAAGAGAAAGAACAGCAACTGGTAGAAGCTAAAGCCAAACTTGAAAATGATATTGCAGAGATCATGAAGTCTTCAGGAGACAGCTCTGCCCAGCTTACGAAAATGAATGATGAGCTCCGGTTAAAAGAAAGGTATTCTGTCAGTGTCAGAACATCCTCATATGAATTCATTGCTCCTGCACTCCAGCTTCTCATCTTATCCTGCTGTAATTATCTGAACACGATGCTCCTGAGTGTCACATTGATGTGACAAGTGAACTTGTTCTAGCAAACCGAATTAATCAAAACTGTCTCCTCAGAGTGATCTGAACAGCATCTAACATTTATAATTCTAAGGTTCTTGTGTAACATGCTTATCATTGCCCAGAGTGAATGACCTTACCTGCTAAGCTTGAGTTATTTGGATATATGAAAAACCTGGGTCACGTTTTGTCTAGCAAGAGAAAATGTGTTTTGTTTCAAATAAAAATTGTACATGGAATAGTTGTTCTTTACCTCTACAATACCACAGACTGGGGGCAAAGTAGCTGGCAGCGGTGTTGCTCTGGTCACAAGCAAGTGCTCGGTCTCACTTGCTTGTATTTAATTTAGCAGAACATTCTCTGTATGCTAAATAATTACATCTCTTTCTAAATGCTTGGACAGAATATAAAACTTCAGTGTAATTTCGAGTCTTTCATCTCTGAGCTTGTTGTGCTGTCAGCAAAAAGTAATGTTCTTTTATTTGGTCTTTTTAGGCAGTTGGAGCAAATACAACTTCAGCTTACAAAAGCAAATGAAAAGGCTGTTGAGCTTCAGAAAAACGTGGAGCAGACAACACAGAAAGCTGAGCAGAGTCAGCAAGAAACCCTCAGGATTCATCAAGCTGAACTGAAAAATATGCAGGATCAACTAATGGACATGGTAAGAACAAGTGTAAAAGCACTAGCTATGTGCAGAATATTGTATTGCTGTTCTTTAACTGCGTTCCAATTTCGTTTCTATCAGAAAAAGCAAATGGAGACCAGCCAGAATCAGTATAAAGATCTTCAGGCGAAGTATGAAAAGGAAACTTCTGAGATGGTCACTAAACATGATGCAGATATCAAAGGGTTCAAGCAGAACTTGCTGGATGCAGAAGAGGCATTGAAAGTTGCACAAAAGAAGAACGCCGAGTTAGAAACAGAGGCTGAGGAGCTGAGGAAGCAAGCGGAAGAGGCCAAAGTACGTACCTTGGGTAGTCTGCGAGTTATTTACAGTCTCACTCCTTCTATTTGGGTGAAACCCTGGGTTTTGCCTGGCTTCACCATTTCGTAGTAAGATTTTTGCAGTGTTTCTTAATTGAACTTTTCAAGGATGGATTAATACTGGTTAGGGAAGAGAAGCATACCCAGCTAACAGGTTGTATTCTCTAGATCACACAGGAATCCATGAAATATGCTGCTTTGATGTTAACATTTTGTTTATGCTCATGGATATCTGGCTCAGCGCAGTCGGTTGGAGCCAGATGTTCTTCTCTGGTTTTTTAAATGCATGAATTATTTTAAAATATGTTGTGAACTATTTCATTTAAAAGTTACACACCTGAAATTTTGTTCTGTAATTTGACCTGATATTACGCGCAGCTATTTAGTATGTAGCTTGACTTTATTAATTTGAATTCTTTTTCCTCCTGTTTCTGTGACATTACTGCTTGCTTTCATCCCTCATTAGTTATTTGCTATAGTCGTTGTTTTATGCTTTAACGTAATATTTAGTGTATAAATTGGCACACAAGTTAACTTTAACTACACCACTGATGTGGTGTTTCGAATTCAGTGGGTTATGAGAGTATATTTCTGATAGAATCATGGGAAGAATTTATTTATAGAAGGTGAATTTGAGAATGGGAAGTCAGTATCTAATACAACTCCCTGCATTTTAATTCACTTGGATTCTCATGAAATCATTCTGTGGCTCTTTTTTTCTGAGTAATTTGCATCCAGAAAATTTGTCGAGAGTAGTTTTAAAAACCAGATGGAATCTTGTCTGGAGGAACTTGCAAACCATGATTAGTTTTTATTGTTATTTAACCAATGAAAAGTTTTCTAGGAGGTGTTTTGCAATGAAATATCAGGGGTGGCTTCAACTGTTGAGTTCCCACAGGGGCTGTGTGTCAGTGTATACACGTTTTACAAACTGAAATGACTGTAGCTCTATTTACCCTTAAAGCACATTTCTCATTTGTCTGCTTGACTTCATTTTTGTTTTCCCTTCTCCCTGACTTTATTTCTTTAGTCCTTAAGCTCTGTGTTAGCATCAGCCAGAAAAGAAATTGAACTAATGTCAGACAAGATGAGGGGTTTGATATCAGAAAAAGAGACTTTGGCACAGGAAGGAGATACTTTAAAATTAGAGAGAGGTTCCTTGGTATCAAAACTTCTAGAATTGGAATCAAAGGTTTCATTAATGGAACAAGACCAAGAAGAACTTTGGACAATAAAAGAAGAACTTAATTCAGAAAATAAAAGAATCCTAAAGCAGAAGGAAGAGGCTGAGGCCAAAAGCCAGCAGGAAAGCTCAGAAAAGTTAGCACTAATCTTGGAGAACAGCAAATTACTCTCTGAAATAGAGGCAGCACAGGCAGAACTCCTGAAGATAATGCAAGAAAACGAAGCCCTCCAGTCTTCAGAGTCAACCTTGCTCCAACAGTTGAAAGAGTTTCAGGCCAACAAAGATGCCATGGATGTGACATGTCAGAAACATATCAAGGAACGGGAAGAACTGGAGAATTATCGGAAGAATCTTTTGGAAGAGAAAGATGCAGTTGTTAAAGACAAAGATGCTGTTATTCAGAAGCTGGAAAGTTCGTGTGAGGCACTGGCCAAAGACCAAAGAAAGCTGCTGCAGGAGGTGTCAACTCTGACTGCAGAGAGAGATTCAGCCCTAGGTGAACACTTAGATCTTAAAAATGCAAATATAGCCTTAAAGAAAGAAATGAACAGTCAACTGAAGACAACCGAGAGCCTGCAGTCCGAGAAGGAGATGCTCCTTAAAAGCATAGAAGAGCTGCGTGTGAGTTTAGGCAATACAGTCAGTGAAAACCAAACATTAAATGTGAGAATGGAAGAGATGAAAACAGAGCTAGAGACTGAACATAAAGAACTTAAAAAAGTGATGAAAGACAATACAGAGCTGAAGGATTCCCTTGCTAGTCTCTCTTGTCTTCTTGAGGAAATTAAAGCCTCGAGAGAGATATCGAACTCCGAACGTGTTCAGTTACTTCAAGAGAAAGAGGCTCTTTCTTCATCTGAGCGAAGGCTTTTGGCTGAAAGGGAGGAACTTTTAAAGGAAAATAATGCAATTGCTGAAAAGCTTGCCAAGGCTGCAGCAGATGCTGAGCTTGCTGAGAGAGACTTAACTGAGAAAATAAAGGAACTGGACTTAGAAAAGGAATCTGTTTTTCGTAAGTCATTGCAATTGGAACAGCACAACGAAGGTCTTCTCCAAGAGAAGAAAGACTTGGAGAACAAATACTTAGAGCTTCTTGAAGAAAACAAGTCTTCTGCAAATACAATTTCTGATATGAAGGATGAACATGAACTGTGTGTCTCAGCCCAGAAAGCTCTGGCCCAAGAGAATACCACGCTCCAAGATTCCATTGAAGCCCTGAAGGAAGAACTACGTAAGAAGACTCTAGAAAATCAAGAGCTGATAAACTGTAAATGTGACCTTTCCAACTATCTGAAAGAGGCCCAGGATGCCAAAAGACCATTAGAAAATGAACTGGCTGCTGTATCCCATGCAAAGCAGGTCCTGTCATCTTCATATGAGACCTATTCTTCTGAGAAGGAAACACTGACCAGAGAGAGGACTGAATTGCAAGATCAGTGTCAGAAATTAAATGAAGAGGTTGCAATTCTGAAAGAAAACCTAACCCTAGAGAAGGAAGCTAGAAAACTGGACAAGGAGTCCTTCTTCTTAGAACGTGGGGAACTTCAAAGCACCATCAGCTTCTTAGAGAAGGAGATACAAGAGCTAAGAGAGAAAAACAGAGAATTTCTGACTGAGAAAGAACTTTTAGTTCAGGAGAAAGAAAAATCTGAAACTGACCTGGTGGAAATCATTAAAGAAAAAGAAACCCTCTGTGCAGAGATGGAGCAGCTTGCTTCCAGTATCGAACGACTGAAGAGTGACTTTACTTCCCTGTCTAAATCCAAAGCAGAGCTTGAAGACTTGCACAGCTGCGTCTCTGAGAGGCTGGGTGAGCTTCAACTCAGACATGAGGCGGTGGAGAAGGAGAGAATAAAGTTACTTGAGGAAAACAACAGCCTACGTGCTGAGCAGGATAGTCTGGTCATCATTAAGGAAGAAAGATTAACAGAGAAGGAGAAATTCTCCAAGGATTATTATAAACTGCATGACAAAGTAGCACTTTTAGAACAGACTAATAGTGACCTGTCGAGCAAATTGCTGGTGTCTCAGGGCAAAAATCAGATGCTACAGGAGGAAATGAACAATCTGGCTTTGAAACTAAGAGAGATTGAGATTCTCCAGGCCCAAACAATAGCACAAAAAATTGAGGTATTGAAACACATAGTTAAATAATTGAGTATGGTTATACTAATCCTGAGCACTAACCTAGTGGTTTCCTCTCTGAACTCATTGCACAATCAGCACTTCATCTTGGTAAAAACAGGCTGGAATTATGGTCTCTCTCCATATATTACTTTGGGTTTTTTCCAAGAGTCTGAAAGACACTTTAATATTGAAAAAAATAATTTCTAAATGTAAAAGCCCATGTTGTTGCTGAATGTTGCAAGAAAACAACATAAACTGTGAATAAAAGGAAGTTTCATTTCTTGAATCTGGTAGGAGAAATTGAGCAGCTCCTTCTGTTTGAAGTACTCTGCAGCTTAAAAGCTAGAGTAGTAAGAGAGAAGGTTGTAGATTAGACCTTTGTGCAATTTTATGTTAAATTACAACAAACTTCAAATTTGAGTTATTGGAAAAATACAAACCAACCCACTGCTCCTGTCAATGTAATTGGATAACAAGCAGTGTAAGAGAACCATTTAAATTCACATTACAGGGCTTTCGGTCTGTTAAAGACATGGACAATCTTGGTGTTCTTTTTATTCACAGAAGTGCTTGGTATTCACCACCAACAAATTCTGTAAAACATTTTGAATTTCAGTTTGTGTGGCTTGAAGCCCATAAAATCCCTTTGAATTGGAATCAAGATATCCTATAGGAATGTATTATGCCCATCGAGGTGTTTTAATATGCTTGTGAAGTATTTCCTTTGAGGAGGCCATAATGAACAACACTGAAACAATGTGGTAATTGGCTTTATCTCCTATTTAATTTTAAATTCTTTTTCAAATTTTGAACAGCTTTTTGTAAGTCCACCTTTTCTGAACACGGAACAGTCTGTTGGAGGTGAATATCTATTGAACTACTACTGTCTAAAGTGGTTAGCAGCCTCAGAGCAATCACAGCGGTGGTAGTTAGTAATCCAGGAGTTACATATGAAGCAGCAGGCCTCCTTGGTGGTGACACAAGCATGGGGTTATGATCTGTTTCTGCATGGAACTGAATCTTCTTGTGTCCATTTATTTTTATACTTTATGCAGCTTCAAAATGCAAATCAGTTCCCCATTGAAGTCCTTATGTAATTGGAAAACAGCTGTCAAACCATGGGGCTGTGCATAAAGTATTGCATTCATCTTTTGCTTTCAGAGGTCCCTTTGATAATAACATCTTTTTCCCCCATCCCCCTTTATATATAGGCTGCCAAAATAGCAGATGATGTTATCCAGACTGTGGAGAAGGTGACCAAAGAGAAGGATGCCATTCACAAAGAAAAGATTGAAACTTTGGCCTCTTTGGAGAACTCTAGACAGACAAATGAGAAGCTACAGAATGAAGTAAGCACATTTAAATGCTTTTCTGTGGAAAGATTTGCCTGGTTTGTAAGGAAGAACTATTGAATTACAGAGAATTAGACTGGGCAAGAGGTGGATTCTGTCACTTTCCCACCACAATACTCAGTCTTGACTGGCTTGTGAAAGCTTACTAGATGAGTGTGTATTGATGGTAAATCTAGGTGCTTGACATAGCCAGATGACCTGTGTCCTTTTGTATTTTGCTTGTGGTTTCAAATGCCATACAGATGTAAGGTTGTCCCTTAAATCTTGGTGCAGCAACAGATTATCTTCTGTATTTAGTCTTAACATTGAACTGGCATCTTTTCTGCAGATGTGGAGCATTCTGTGGGTCTCTTTGATGGCTCCTTGAGCTTTTTCAGCTTCTGTAGTAATGGGTAGTGAACAGCTGGGCTACCCTGAACACCACAGCTTGTGCTGAAGCAGTCAGCATTTCCAATGAGATTTGAGGACTTGAGAATTAAAAGCTGTGACGTGTATAATGGCAGGGTTCACTTTTCTGGATTAACATAAAAAATCCACAGGGTGCTGTAATGCCATGAGAATGGCTGGAGATTATCTGTTATACAATATAATGTGTCGCTGAATGCCAGCGACTGAGGTTCACAAGCTTGTGTGTTTATGTGGTCAGTGCAAGCTCAGTAAATAGACAGACAACAACTTGTCCCATGCAACGAGATCTCTGACAGGAATTCATTTCTTATGAATGAACTGTGTAGTTTCATTAGTGTAATGAGGCTTTTTTTCCCCTCTTTAAGTTGGACATGCTTAAACAAAACAACCTGAAAAATGAAGAGGAACTTAATAAATCGAAAGAGCTTCTAAATCTGGAGAACAAGAAAGTGGAAGAACTTAGAAAAGAATTGTAAGTATTTCAGTGTTAAATCTGTTGAATCATTCCTTTGTAGCTACATTTACCTTTTATGAAAACATGTCTTTCAGTACCTCTCTGGTATCCTAATGTTTAATTTTGACCTAATAATCTGCTTCATCAGTTGGACATGTGTTAGGACATGGAATCAGACTGTTGCTCCTGAATTGCTGAAGGGTGTCGAAGCAGATCCTTCACTCCAGACACTGTCTGAAAGAATTCGTTTCTTGGAGGAAGTATAGAGTTCTGCCACCTGAGGGCACCAGGTTGTTTTAAAAGCTTTATTATAAAGAAATTCTGTTTGGATTTAATTACACCTGGAGTGTTAAGTAGTTTCAAGTGGCTTTGGTTATAGAACATCTGGTTCTGCTTTTTGTTTTCGTTGATGGTTCATTCCAGCTTATTCCTGTTTCTTTTCTAACTGGTACAATACGAATGCTGTATGTAGTATGTAAAACTAGAGTTAACTGCTTATAATTGAAGATGCTTCATTTGAGCAATTACCTCTTACGTAGGTACTATTACCACTGCTACTAGTGATGTGTAACATTGTACACAAACAAATTAACTGTAAAGCATCTGATATAAAGTAATTTTCCCTGTGGAATCTCATTGTAGCAAAGCTTTTGGTGTGTGAGCAAAAGTCCTGGCTATTGCTGCCCTGCAGTAGCTGCGTGTCCCCCAGCTTTCAGAGATGAAACGCATTAAATCACAATCTTGCTCCAAGAAGAACTTGTTGACTCATGGAGTGAGAGCTGGAATCTGGACTGAGCAGCTTTGACAAATTAATTATTATTATTAGTTCCATAAGTCATTTTGTGACAGTTCTTAACCACTGCTCTGAGGTGAAGTCAGGGCACAAAGGAAATCAGCACGTGGAAGTAACACCAAGTTTCTGTGTGACTGACAGTTATTGCTGCTTGCTTTTAAAAACCTGCATGCTTGATTAGACAGGAACCTCCTTTGAGAAAGGCAGCTTTCATTCCATGAGCAATTCCTACCTGCCTCAGTGCTCATGGGAGATGCCAAAGCAAAATCATTACCTCCAGACTAGTTGCTCTTACGCTAGAACAGCAAGGGGCTAAGTAGACTCTGCTGTTGTGGGAAGACAAAAGATACTAGACTGTGATTTGTCAAGCAGAAGTTATTTATAGAAGATGCTGCCTTGAAAATCTCCAGCACTAAAAGGTGTTCTCAGGATCACTTTGTGGAGTTTTAATTTTGTTTTTTAAGGCTAATCTTAGTTATAGGCTGTTGCTTAATATGGTCTCTAATCAACAGCGCTGAGAGATGGTGTGGATAAAGGGAAGCTTGGCTGGTTGTTTTTCTAATTGAACTTTGTTGTCGTAATTATTTTGTGCATTGCCTTGTTTTAATTAGAGTAAGGAGTTAGCTTGATAATAGACATTTCTGGATCAGCAGAACATCCTTATGAGGTCGGTTGATGAAGGTGGTGCCTTTACATGGGAGAGTAAAGGGAAAATTTTGCCCCTGGGAGCTGTGACTGTAGGCAGGGATGTGTGGCTGCCTCTAGAGCAGCATCTTTTGGAAGCAGGGAGATGTTGGGAGTGACAGCGTGTGCTTCGTAACAGAGCCTTCCACGGATGAAGGCTTCATCCTAGGAAGGATGAAGATAAGCAGAAATACCCACTGGAGTTGTGTACTCATTTAGCACTGCTGAGTGTGCTTGCAGCTATCAGTTTAAAGTTCCTTGGCACTAAACCCAGGCAAGTATTTCACACAACTTGACCCCAGGATTTTGTGTGCTTTTTTTATAATGCCCTGAATCTATGCTTCAGCACCAAAAGCAATGAGAGGAGAACGGGTTAGTGTTGCAAGCAGTCGTGGTTAAAAATAGGTGTGTTCCTGCACCCGCGAGCAGAGCTGTACCAAGATAATTTGAACTGATGTGAGCTTTCCTGCTTAATCCAGTCTAGGTGGGTCAGATGGGAAATGGGTCAAGGTGAGACCAGATAGAAGAAATGATTGGAAAATCTTAAGTCATGTTACATCCTGAACTCAAAAAGTAAATCAGATTTCCTTTGGTTTAAATATGCCCAGAGACAGAGCTCAGAGTCCTTGTGTTTTGAAATGCTTGAGTAAGTTTCTGACTTAAGGGTTCAACCTCCCCCGGTCATAAAAGTATTTTTAATATTCCGTTCAGGGTTTATGTCAGTGCAATATTGGCACATAGGAGTATGAGACTGCTTCTTATGAAACAAAACAGTCATTAAAATTACTGTTTAATGAAATGAGATGGGTCATTTCATGTCTTTCAAGAACCAAAAATCTTCTCAAAACGTGTGCGAGTCACTTGTGTTGCAGGCAGGCGTCCAAAACATTTTATGTTTCAAAAACTTGTTGAAAATAAACTTATTTAAGGAAACCACACATTGGCAGCAACCTCATGAAACCTGCTAATCCTTTTTTTTCCTTCAGCTTTTGTTGGTCTCATTTTCAGGTTTGTATCTGTTAAAATAACGGAATAGATCAGCTCCTTTGCTGTTTTGCCTCCTCTAATCTTGCATTCATTCTTGTATGGTTGGATGTCACACCTTGTAGGGAGCATTTAAAAAGAGAACTGTGAGCTTTTTGCTGGTTTTTTTCCTCTTCTTGTTTCTTTTTCCCCCTTTTTCTTTCTTTCTTCTCTTAACAATTTTACTTCTGGCTACAGAGTTCACTTCTGAGAAAGTCCCAGCTATAAACCATGCCAACCCTCTTGTCAAACCCTGCCCTGTATTTCCAAACCCAAGCACTCACAGACCATTGGAAGCGTGCAGAGCTCACAC